AGCCTAAGCATCAACACGAACCTCAACATCCTGACCCTAACCGTAACACGCTAACGTACCCACCCTGGACCTAACAGGTGGCCCCATAAACCTTACCCTAGAACCCTAGCCCTGAGCACTACGCCTCAGCCTGCCCCCTGACCCTAGTACCCTAACTTGAACGCCCTAAACCCTGACACCCCAACATCCGAACCTTAACCCTAGCACTCCAACCCAACTACCCCGCACCCAGCACCTGAAAGCAAACACCCGAATCCTGACACCCAAAACCTCACAAAATGGCCCGAAGCAGAAAACCTAACCCTGATACCCTAAGCATGACCCCGCTACCCTCCCGAACGCCAACACTGGAGCCCAATTCGAGCTAGCCCTGACAGCATAACCCGGACCCCGAAACCGTAACACCCCCGCCCGCACACCATAATCCTGCCGCCCTATGCCTGACACCTTGACCCTAATCCTAACCCCGCAACCTTAACCCTAACACCCTAACCGCAATCCGAACGCCCTAGTCCTTACAGTAAGACCAAGAACCCGAACAAGTTAACCCTGACCCTATCACCCTGACCCTGAAACCCCGACCCAAAACCCCACCAAAACATCCTGACCCGAAAGCGCCACCCACCACCACCGAAACCACCACCACGCGGCAGAGCGCAACCAAGCAACGCGGGGGGGGGACGAGGGGGATGGGCCAAAAACACCCACCCTTGTTCAATGAGCAGGTCCCCCGCCGGCGTTCTTGCCCAGGCCAGACAGTCTCGTCACACGGCGCAGTGCACATAGACTGCGATGTCAACTGATGACGCCCCCAACCTGCGCGCTGCCTGCAGCCTCCAAAACACGCCAAATGCGACACCAACGTAACGCAACGCAATTGCCCAGAGCGGGGCGGATACGTGATAATACAAACGACGTGCTGTCGCCGATTAATACATCTAGGAAGCCCAGAGCCGCCGCGGCGCAGTCTCCCTCTCCATTGCAACGCCCACTGAAGGGTGGATAACACCTGCAGACAAGGGGCGCCTCGATTCCTGTAGACAGAACACTTCGCGCGCATCTCATCATCGACGGCGACGACCCGGGCGAACGACATTCACTGTTTGCCCGCATACTCGCACGCAACCTCAGCAACGCCTAAAATCTGAAACTCAACAGTCTGCCAATTGCTTGGGGGCTCGGGGTGCGTTCGACTTGGACAAGCCCAACTAAACCCAAGGACAGAGTCGTGCCGACGCCGCCCTGGGCGCCCCGGGCCGTCTCCAACGGCGCAAATGTCACAAGAAGCGCAATATCATCGCCTGCAGGGACCGCCTCCTCCAGATCGGGCTTCCCCGTCTGACTCGCACCCAGCGCGCGAGCACGACGCGGCTGACAAGTCGCCGTGCTGCCCAATCTGAACGTTCAAGCGGACGTCGAACACACCCTCGGGGCACTCCCTGCCGCGCACCCACGCCACACTCCCACGCGCCATCGCATCCCTTCGTCGAGAAGGACGCGGATTCTCCCCGGCTCGCCGCCGCCATCTCCAGTTCCCTGGGCGCCACCGAGGAGGGCCGGCGCCAGGGCGCCCCCTCTCCGCTCGGCCCCAAGCACCACGTCATCCTCCTCGGGCGCATCTCCCGTCTCAAGCACAGCCCTGTCCTCCACGGCGATCTCATCGACGTTCTCGGCTGGGGTCGGCGGCCCCGCAGCTAGCGCAATCAACGCGCCCACCAACCACTGGGCTGGGCTGACTCATGCGTCGCCAGGGCGGGGAGCGCCTTCCAACCTGGCATCACGCTGAAATTCGGCCCATCCAAGCCATGCGCTGTCGGCGGGTCGATGATCTGGCGCCCGGGCCAGCGCGAGACTCCGCATGCTCTGCAGCCCACGAACAGCCGCCGGGGGGAGGGATCGCCGCCATCTCCTGGGCCAGCAGAGCCCCGCGGGTTGTCACTTCCAGCCCCCTTCTTGTTTGCGTGATGCGGCTTCTCCCGGCGCGATCGCGCTCTCTGAGGCGGCGCTCGCAATCTGGAAACTACTGCGCCAGCAGAGACGCCGCGAAGGCTGGCGGAGGAACAGGCAAAGAGGAAGGAAGAGGACCAGAGGAAGGATCGGAGTGATGAGGAGAAAGAGGCAAGAGCAAGCCCAGGTTGTGTCAACGATGCTGCACTGCGCATCTGTCGCCACGCCAGAAACAAACAAAAACACTGACCTCCGCTGGTGAGTTCTTCATATGCCTTCAGACTGGGTGGCGGTGTGTAGCGCTGTTGGCTCTCAGAGGCACAACTCTGCACGCCGCTACCCTCCCCTGATCGGGGATTGCCAGAGGTGATCCTAGCCCAAACTGTCCCCAGATGCTTGCACCATGTCTGGGCCTCCGGGGCTCTGGAGGGTCTGGAGGCCTGGGGGCGCCTCTTGGGAAGTCCTGGGGACAACCAGGGACAGGGACACATGTGAGCAACAAACAAGCAGGTCTCACGCGAGATTACATGGCCACCTTACGCGGTCGCTTACGCGGCCCGCCAGCGCGGCACGATACACCCTGCGAAATGCTTAAGAAATCATGGGTTAAGAAATTCATAGTCTCAAAAATGCCATAAAAACGCAGAACTTCTATCAAAATATTGGGATTTACATGGAAACGTTAAGAAGAATCGAGACTCTGGCCGAAAACTTGGGTTTTCTTGAGCATCGCCTAAGGTGTACATTGGAAGCGAGGGCGCTGACGCGCGACCTTACGCGGACAGCTTATGCGCCAATGTCGGCGAAGAAGACCCCGTTTTCTTCCGTCGCTCGTTCTTCAACGCTCGACCTTCACCCCCCCCATGCCTCCTCCCATCTCCGTCCTCCCTCCGACGTCCCCTCCTCCTGCGACCTCGTCCTCATCCTCATCAGCATCACCATCGGCAGCAGTAGCCGCACCGTCATCATCACCACCATCATCACCCTCACCACCATCGCCATCATCATCATCGCCGAATTGCTGGGATGATGTGTAGTATGGCGAGGTGCCATTGGTCATATTAGTGGTATCCGTATGTTTCCGACTCATCATCGTCGCCAGCATAATCAGCCTCATCAACATCAACAGCATTATCATCATCATCATCATCATCATCATCATCATCATCATCATCATCATCATCATCATCATCATCAGCAGCAGCAGCATCAGCATCATCAACCACATCAACATCAACAACATCACCATATTGCCAGGACAACTGTAGTACGGCTAAGAAGTTCCTTGAATATATGAGCGAGGTTCGAACACGTCGTACTCGGCATCCTCACCACCAAAACTATCATCATCATCATCATCATCATCATCATCATCATCACCAGCAGCATCATCAGCAGCATGTTCATCATCAGCATCATCATCAGCATGAGCGTCGTCATCATCGTCATCATCATCGTCATCATCATCGTCATCATCATCATCATCACCAGCAGCATCATCAGCAGCATGTTCATCATCAGCATCATCATCAGCATGAGCGTCGTCATCAGCGTCATCATCATCATCAGAATCAGCATCAGCATCATTATCATCGGTAGCATCATCACATCATCATCATCATCAGCAGCAGCAGCAGCATCAGCATCATCATGTTATAATCCTCATCAGCATCATCATCATCAGCCTCATCATCAGTATCATTATCAGAAACAATATTGCCACCCCCATTGCAATTCACAACCATCACCAAACATCAAAATCAGCATCATCAGTATCCTCATCCTGGCCATCATCTTGACCACCGCCAATCAGCATCATCAACAACAGCAGCAGCATGCTGAATACCACAATCATCATCAACTTGGCAAGAGCATATCTCACAAGCAGCATTGCCATCGTCATCGTCACTGCCGATATACTCGTTATCATAATCGGAGTCATCGTCCTCACCGCCACGATCACCATTGTCGGCATCATCATCACCACCATCAGCATCATCATCATCATCATCCTCATCATCATCCTCATCTTCATCATCATCATCATCCTCATCATCATCACCACCACCATCATCATCATCATCATCATCATCAGCATCACCATCATCAGCAGCATCATCACCATCAGCATGATCATCGTCGTCGTCGCCATCGTCAACATCGTCGTCATCATCACGATCATAATCAGCAGCATCATGATTGTCAGCAGCAGCAGCAAGATCATCATCCTCAGCATCATCAGCATCATCATCGTCAACGTCGCATTCGTCGTCGTCACCATCATCATCAGCAGCTGCACAATCATCATCATCATCATCATCAGCATCATCATCAGCATCATCATCGTCATCGTCGTCATCGTCGTCGTTGTCGTCGTCACGATCATCATCATCATCATCATCATCATCAGCAGCAGCAGCAGCATCACCACCACCATCATCATCAGCATCAGCATCATTATCAGCAGCATCAGCATCACCTCCTCCTCCTCATCCCCCTCGTCATCAACATCACCGTCGTCAGCATCATCATCATCATCAGCATCATCATCAGCATCATCATCAGCATCATCATCAGCGTCGTCATCACCATCATCATCAGCATCATCAGCATCAAAATGTATCATCACCATCGTCATCATCATCGGCATCATCATCATCATCATCATCATCATCATCATCATCATCATCATCATTATCATCATCATCTGTATCACCATCATCACCATCGTCATCATCATCATCATCATCATCAGCAGCAGCAGCAGCAGCAGCACATTCATTCTCATCATCAGCACATGCATCATCATCACCACCATCATCCTCACCGTTCTCATCATCCTCCCCCATCACCACCATCATCATCACCACCATCATCATCACCACCATCATCATCACCACCATCATCCTCACCGTCCCTCCTCCTGGAACCGCAGGCGGCCCAGGCCTGCCTGAGATGGGTGCCACCGCGTCCCCCCCCCAGCATGACGCACGGCCTTCGGGCGCGGAGGCGATCACGCCTCTTGTGGCGGAGACCGCGGGCGAGGCGCGGGCTCACGGCCCGCGGCTGGAGCAGAGCGTCGCCTCCGCGCGGCCAAGGACAGCCCGCCGCTCCCGTCGGGGCCCCCCCATGCCGGGCGATCGCGGCCGCGGTGGAGAGCACCGTCTGGCCCAAGACAGTCTCCTCCTCCACCTCCTCTCCTCCTCCTCCTCCTCCTCACCTCCTCCTCCTCCTCCGCCTCCTCCTCCTCCTCCTCCTCCTCCTCCTCCGCCTCCTCCTCCTCCTCCTTCTCCTCCTCCTCCCGCCTGAACATGTGAACCAGCTGCCTGGATGGAGAGCGGCTCCTGTCGAAAATGGGGCTCTCGGTCGAGGCGTCCTCTAACCGAACGACCAGATCCGCAAACTTGTGCAACAGGTAAACAGATGGGCGGCGGTCCCTTTGCAAAACGGGGCTCATGCTGGACATCAGGTCGAACTTAAGGATTACACCTTCTCGCAGTCCTTACAATTCGCCGGGAGGATGCGAGACAGTTCCATTACAAAACGAGGTTCTCGCCTAAAAGGCAGGTCCAGGTCAATCGGGTGCTCGTCTTTCAAGGCGGCACTTGGGGGGAAAAGGAAAGAACCTAAAAGAAACATGTACGTCGGATTGCAACGACAAAGGGAACCTTCCAGGGACTTCACAATAGGCTTGGGGCGGGAGGTTGTACTGCATCATCATTGATGCATCCTTGGCTTACTCAGGTCCTGTTCCTCGTCCGCCTCCTACTCCTCCTCTTCCGCCTCCAACTCCTTCTCATCCTCTTCCTCTCTCCAGGATCGCGGCGCACCATCCAGGATTACCTGGCACTCGGAAGAAGTACGTGGAAACATGAAGTAGGAATGCAGACAAAGTAGGTCAGCTTCGGGCCCACCAGAAGCAAAACAGAAAAACAGCAACAAGAGATCGATTCTTGAAGTAGGAAGGCACCTGAACTGGATTGGGACCTGGATATCCAAAGCACATGTTTGCAACGGCCGGCGCGTCACCTGTGCCGACCCCTGGAAGGTCAAGGAGGGAGGCTTCGGACGTCCTTGGAAAGCCCTCAGGCGCAGTCTCCCCTCTCGGCCATCTCCGGGGGCCTCCCTGTAGAGGAAAGAGAACTATGCACATGCACCGATTCTGGCCAGGCCCATCCTGAGCCCAGGATCGGTGCATACGCCCTCCTACCTTGGCCAGGAAGGCATATGCACCGATCCTGGGTCAAGGATGGGCCTTGCCAGGATCAGTGCATGTGCATAGTTCTCTTCCTCCGACCCTGGACCGCGGAAGGACAGGACCCGGGGCTGCACCGTCTCCTGGGACAGAGCGGCCCCCGAGATCCCCCCAATGGCCCCGAGGCCCGACGCGGGCTCGGCACTGCCGGTCGCGCCTGCTCTCGCTCCGGGCAGCCGCCGGGCCTGGAAGAGCAGAAGCACCAGCCTTTGGAGCCCCGTGCGGAGCTCTCAGGCCAGCGCTGGACCCCGAGGAGGAGGCGGAGAAGGCGGCTCGAGGAGGAGGAGGAGGAGGAGGAGGAGGAGGAGGAGGAGGAGGGGAGGAGGCGGCTCGAGGAGGAGGAGGAGGGGAGGAGGCGGCTCGAGGAGGAGGAGGAGGAGGAGGAGGAGGAGGAGGCGGATCGAGGAGGATCGAGGAGGGGAAGAGGGGAGGCCCGCGCGGATGTCTCGGGTCGGCGCTGGTGCCCCCCCTCCATCCACAGCTCCGGCGGCGCCGGCGGGCTCCCCTCGCCCACCCCCCGGGGATGGGGGGGGGAGGTGGAGGGGGGTGGGGTCCAGCGCAGACGAGGGCCTCCAAACGTCTACAGTCAACCAGCATGATAAGGATGCGCGATAAGTATGCAAGGGCCTTGGACGCCCATTTCGAAGCTTTTCGAGCGGGGCGCGGCCAGCGAAAGCGACGAAGGATGGACCGAGGGGGCAAGGATGCAGGGGTACCCTCGGGAAGGTTGCCTATCCTCACCATGCGGGTCGACTGTGTGTGTGTGTGTTTGTGTGCTTGCGCTGCTGCTCGGGCACTCGAAGGACGCCGAGGAGGCGCGGCGTGGCGAGGGCACGCCACGCCGTCGGACAGAGGACGGGAGGAGCCACACGCCGACGGGCTCCCAACGGCGGCGCGCCACCGATGCGCACTCTCTCGCTCTCTCGCTCTCTCGCGCTCTCGCTCTCCCTCCCGGGAGGCGGCCTCCGCCGGCGCCCCCATGGGGCGCTCTGCGCCCCTGGGGCGGAGGCGTGGACACCGCCCTGGACTGCTGCTCGGGGGGGGGCCTCTCGAGGACAGCCCTGGCCTGCTATGTGGGGGGGGCCTGTTGGGGCCAGCTGGGACCGCCTGGGTGGGGGGGGCGGGCCATAACTGGTGGGCAGCCCGAAGCCTCACCGCTCTCGCCGCCGCCTCCCGGCCACCCGGCCCGACCGAGCGCCGCCGCCAGGGCGCCGCCGAGAGCAGGCGCCGCTCGGCCGAGCGCGAGCCTGGGCCCGATCGAGCCCCGCCAGCGGGGCGCCGCCGGCCCGATCGAGCGAGCGCCACCGGCCCGAGCGAGCGCCGCCTGGCCGAGGTCGAGCCCGGGCCCGATCGAGTGCCGCCGCTAGGGTGCCCGCCGCGTCGAGAGGGCCCCGCTCGGCGGCCGCCAGGGCGCGGGCCCCCCCGCGCCGCTGCCGCGAGCGCCCGCGGCGGGGCGCAGGCGGCGGCGCGGCGCGGAGGAGCACGCGGTCCGCGGCGGGGCCACGGCGAGGCCCACGCCGCAGCCTGAGGTCCGGCGTTGCCAGGAAAGCGCACCATCGGGGAGAAACAAACACGACCCGAGCCCCAGGCCTCGTCCTTCTGCGCCGGCGTTCGGGCCCCATGGATCCGCGAGGACCCCTAAGGGCCCGGTGCGAAGCAGAAGCCGCCCGCCGTGGCAGAGTGGCAGCGCCCGGACCTCAGGGAAGCAGAGGCAGCTCGCCGCCCGCGGCGGCCCCGCACGGCCGCGGCGGGGGGGGGCGCGGGTCCGCCGCCGAGGCCGTTCGCTCACGAGGGCGGGGCGCCCTTGCCCTTGGGCAGCCCGGAGGACGGCTCGGGCAGCCCGGGCGGCGGTCCTGCGTGCTCGCGGGGGCGGCGGCGGCGGCGGCGGCGACGACTACGAGGACGAGGACGAGGACGAGGACGAGGACGCGGACGAGGACGAGGACGAGGACGACGACGACGACGAGGACGACGACGGCGAGGACGACGACCGACGGCCGACGACCGATGACCGACGTCGGACCGCAGTCGCCCCTGCTGCGAGGGCAGCCTGCGCGCGAACAGACGCGCCTTTTTTGTGCCCCAGTTGTGGCCCCGCGGTGGGGGCGGCGGCGGCGACCGGGGGAGAATCCAGGATCGAACTTCGAGGTTCCAAAGTTTTCCTGCATTGTTTGGGGCTTCTGGCGAGCTCCTCGTCGCCACAATCAGATCCGCCTCGGAATCCTGGTGAGAACGCGCCCCAGATCAGGGCCGGTGTACCCACGCTTCCCTGGAAAAGCACCACAGCAACTTCCTCCAGTTCTTGAACCCCGACGACCCTGCGCCCCCGAGGACCCCTAGGCTCAATGTTGAGCCAGCCGCGGCCGACAGCGGAAAAATCGTATCGCACGGCGCCCCGCGAGAACATGTAAAGTGAGGGGCGCGGGGAGACGGTACGCTTTCCAGAGTAGTGCAGAGTCGAACTTCGAGGTCCGAAGGTGTCCTTCAAACGTGCGCATGTTCTATACCTCTGGGGGATTCGTCACGGCCAGATCCGCCTCGAAATCCTGGTCGGAACGCACCCCAGCTCAGGTCCAGGTGTCACCGTTTGACCTCGGGACCCCGACGCCCCCACGGCGTCAGGAGATATGTTGTTATGTCAGCGGCCGCGAGGGATCAAGCAGCGCTGGGTCGACAGCGGGGCGCGTCGAGGCCAGTTGGGGCACGAGAGGCCAGGGGAGGCGAGCGCGGGGCGCAGGGAGGGGGGCCGGGGGAGGGCCCGGGGGGGCTGAGAGCCCCACTCAGACCATGCTGAGCCCTCAAGCGCGGCGTCGTGAAGAAAGAACGACCGAAGGCTCTCGGCAGGCTTCGCCTTCTGAGGGCCTGCACAGCACCCCGGGGCCGTGCGGCCCGCGTCCTCATCCTCATCCTCAGCATCAACATAGTCATCATCATCATCATCATCATCATCATCATCATCATCATCATCATCATCATCATCATCATCATCAGCAGCAACAGCATCATCATCATCATCATCATCATCATCATCAGCAGCAGCAGCGCATCATCATCATTATCAGCAGCAGCAGAATCATCATCATCATCACCATCATCATCATCATCATCATCATCATCATCTCATCATCATCCATCATCATCATCATCATCATCATCATCAATCAATCATAATCATCAACATCATCATCAGCATCATCATCAGCTCATCATCATCATCATCATCATCATCATCAGCATCGTCATCGTCATCATCATCATCATCATCATCATCATCATCAGCAGCAACATCAGCATCATCATCATCATCATCCTCATCATCATCACCATCAGCGTAATCATCATCATCAGCATCAACCGTCATCATCATCATCATCAGCATCATCCGCATCATCATCATAATCAGCATCATCAGCAACATCAGCATCAGCATCAGCATTAGCATCATCACCATCATCATCAGCAGCAGCATCATCACCATCATCATCATCATCATCATCATCATCATCTGAATCATCATCAGCATCATCAGCTGCATCATCATCATCACCGTCGTCCTCATCATCAGCAGCATCATCAGGATAATCAGCATCATCATCGTCATCATCATCATCCTCATCATCATCAGCATCAGCATCATCATCAGCATCATCATCATCAACATCACCATCATCAGCAACATCAGCATCAGCATCAGCATCATCATCATCATCATAATCGGCATCAGCATCATCAGCAGCATCAGCAAAAGCATCACGAGAATCAGCATCATAATCAGCATCATCATCGTCAGTCGTATCGCCATCATCGTCATCATCAGCAACAGCAGCATCGTCATCAGCATCATCATCAGTATCAGCAGCAGCATCATCATCATCACCATCATCATCATCATCATCATCATCATCATCATCAGTATCAGTATTATTAGCATCATCATCAACAGAATCATCATCACCATAATCAGCATCATCATCACCAGCAGCAGCATCAGCATCATCCTCAACATCAGAGAGAGCGTGATCCACCGCCGCTTTACTGTGGAAAATTGTCAACCTTTTCCTCCTGACCCCGGGGGTCGCCACCCCCCCCCCTCCGGAAGGATCCCCCCCCCGCTGGACCCCCCCCCCCCTTCCCCGGCAACCCCCCCCTCGCCCTAACCCCCCCCCCCCTCCCCCTCGAAAACCGGGGGGGTCACTACCGTTTCGAACCCCCTTCCCCCCCCCCCCCTCACGGATCCGAAAAACCGGGGTGGTCACTGACCGGTTCGAACCCCCCCTCCCCCCCCCCCTCTAAACGGAGGGGAAGTGTACCGGGTTTCGACCCCCCCCCCCCCACGCACCGCCAGCAAACGACTCCCGGTCCCTACCACCGTCCGCATCACATCCCCCACTGTTGTTCCCAGCGCCACTGTCCTCACCACCACTGTCCCCACTGGTTCCACCACCGTCCCTACTGTCCCCACCAGTGCCCCCACCACTGTCGCACTGTCCCCCCCACTGTCCCCACCACTGTTCCCACCACGGTTCCACTCTCCCCACTGTCTCCACGGCCCCAACCACTGCCCGACTATCCCCACTGTCCCAATGACCCCTCCGCTGTCCCACTGAGCTGTCCCACTGTTCCCACCACTGTCCCCACTGTCCCCACCACTGTCCCCACTGTGCCTCTGTCCCATTGTCCCACCGCCGTCCTCGCCACCGCCTTCACCACTGTCCCCACCACCATTGTACCCTCCACTGTCCCACTGTTTCCACCTCATTCCCACTGTCCCCACACCACTGTCCCCACCACCACCGTCCCCACCACTGTCCACTGTCCCCCCCTGTTCCCACCATTGTCCCCACCACTGTCCCCACCACTACCGTCCCCACCGCTGTCCCACTGTCCCACTGTCCCCACCACTGTCCCGCTATCCCCTCACCACTGTCCCCACCACTACCGTCCCCACCACTGTCCGCACCCCCCACTCGTTTTCGACGGGGGGGAGGGTGGGGTTCGAACAGTAGTGACCCCCTGGGGCAGGGGGAGGGCCCCCGGTTTTCGAGGGGGGGGGGGTTCGAACCGGTAGTGACCCCCCTCCCTTTTCATGATGAACTGGGGGGGGGGAGGGGCTCGAACCGGTAGTGACCCCCCCGGTTTTCCGGAGGGGGGGGGGAAAGGTTCGAACCGGTAGTGACCCCCCCCCGGTTTTCCGCCAGCAGCGGTAGAACACGCTCTTTCCAACATCAGCATCATCATCAGCATCAACATCGTCAGCATCATAATTGTCGTCGTCAGTATCGTCATCAAAAGTATCATCATCAGCATCATCATCATCATCATCATCATCATCATCATCATCATCATCATCATCATCATCATCATCATCATCATCATCATCATCATCATCCTCATCCTCATCCTCATCCTCATCCTCATCCTCATCCTCATCCTCGTCCTCATCCTCATCCTCATCCTCATCCTCATCCTCTCCTCATCCTCCTCCTCATCATCATCACCATCATCATCATCATCACCATCATCATCATCATCATCATCATCATCATCATCATCATCATCATCATCATCATCATCATCGTGATAATCATCAACATCATCATCAGCATCATCATCAGCATCATCATCATCATCATCATCATCATCATCATCGTCATCGTCATCATCATCATCATCAGCAGCAACATCAGCATCATCATCATCATCCTCATCATCATCATCACTATCAGCGTAATCATCATCATCAGCATCAACCGTCATCATCATCATCATCATCATCCGCATCATCATCATAATCAGCATCATCAGCAACATCAGCATCAGCATCAGCATTAGCATCATCACCATCATCATCAGCAGCAGCATCATTACCATCATCATCATCATCTGAATCATCATCAGCATCATCAGCTGCATCATCATCACCGTCGTCCTCATCATCAGCAGCATCATCAGGATAATCAGCATCATCATCGTCATCATCATCATCCTCATCATCATCAGCATCAGCATCATCATCAGCATCATCATCATCAACATCACCATCATCAGCTTCATCATCATCAGCATCAGCATCATCATCATCATCATCATAATCGGCATCAGCATCATCAGCAGCATCAGCAAAAGCATCACCAGAATCAGCATCATAATCAGCATCATCATCGTCAGTCGTATCGCCATCATCGTCATCATCAGCAACAGCAGCATCGTCATCAGCATCATCATCAGTATCAGCAGCATCATCATCATCATCATCACCATCATCATCATCATCATCATCATCATCATCATCATCAGTATCAGTATTATTAGCATCATTATCAACAGAATCATCATCACCATAATCAGCATCATCATCACCAGCAGCAGCATCAGCATCATCCTCAACATCAGAGAGAGCGTGATCCACCGCCGCTTTACTGTGGAAAATTGTCAACCTTTTCTTCCGGAACCCGGGGGTCGCCCCCCCCCCCTCCGAAGATCCCCCCCCCCCTGCTGGAACCCCCCCCCCCTTCCCCCGGCAAAACCCCCCCCTCCCCTAACCCCCCCCCCTCCCCCTCGAAAACCGGGGGGGGGTCACTACCGGTTCGAACCCCTCCCCCCCCCCCCTCCGGATCCGAAAACGGAGGGGGGTCACTACCGTTCGAACCCCCCCCCTCGAAAACCGGAGGGGGGTCACTACCGGTTCGACCCCCCCACGCACCGCCAGCAAACGACTCCCGGTCCCTACCACCGTCCGCATCACATCCCCCACTGTTGTTCCCAGCACCACTGTCCTCACCACCACTGTCCCCACTGGTTCCACCACCGTCCCTACTGTCCCCACCAGTGCCCCCACCACTGTCGCACTGTCCCCACTGTCCCACTGTTCCCACCACGGTTCCACTCTCCCCACTGTCTCCACGGCCCCAACCACTGCCCGACTATCCCCACTGTCCCCACTGTCCCACTGACTCCTCCGCTGTCCCACTGAGCTGTCCCACTGTTCCCACCACTGTCCCCACTGTCCCCACCACTGTCCCCACTGTACCTCTGTCCCATTGTCCCACCGCCGTCCTCGCCACCGCCTTTACCAGTGTCTCCACCACCATTGTACCCTCCACTGTCCCACTGTTTCCACCTCATTCCCACTGTCCCCACACCACTGTCCCCACCACCACCGTCCCCACCACTGTCCACTGTCCCCCCTGTTCCCACCATTGTCCCCACCACTGTCCCCACCACTACCGTCCCCACCACTGTCCCACTGTCCCACTGTCCCCACCAGTGTCTCGCTGTCCCCTCACCACTGTCCCCACCAACACCGTCCCCACCACTGTCCGCACCCCCACTCGGTTTTCGACGGGGGGGAGGGGGGGGGTTCGAACCAGTAGTGACCCCCTCCCGGTTTTCGAGGGGGGGGGGGGTTCGAACCGGTAGTGACCCCCCTCCCTTTTCATGATGAACTGGGGGGGGGGAGGGGCTCGAACCGGTAGTGACCCCCCCGGTTTTCCGGAGGGGGGGGGGAAAGGTTCGAACCGGTAGTGACCCCCCCCCGGTTTTCCGCCAGCAGCGGTAGAACACGCTCTTTCCAACATCAGCATCATCATCAGCATCAACATCGTCAGCATCATAATTGTCGTCGTCAGTATCGTCATCAAAAGTATCATCATCAGCATCATCATCATCATCATCATCATCATCATCATCATCATCATCATCATCATCATCATCATCATCATCATCATCATCATCATCAATCATCATCATCATCATCATCATCATCATCATCATCAGCATCATAATCATCATCATCATCATCATCATCATCATCATCATCATCATCATCATCATCAATCATCATCATCACCATCATCATCATCATCATCATCATCATCATAATCATCATCATCATCAGCATCAGTATCAGCATCATCATCATCATCATCATCAGCATCTCATCATCATCATCATCATCATCATCATCATCATCATCATCATCATCATCATCATCATCATCATCATCATCATCATCATCATCATCATCATCATCATCATCATCATCATCATCATCATATTTCTCGTCCTGCTCCTCCGTCTGCACCTTGCCAACCCGATATCATCAAGCCCCATTATGTTCCTCGCCCTCCTTCTCCCCATCCCCCACCCCTCCAAAGTGGAGGGCACAACACGACCCTGCCTGGCAACGACATCTCAGGGATCCTCGAAGGCCGTCGGGCCCAAACGATGTGCCAGATGCTGCGGCTGCTCCACGGGACCTCTGGAACGCTCTCGGAGTGTTCTCTCGGGAAAAGCTGACCCGTAAAAGATTGGACGGGGTGGGGAAGCAGATGCTGCTCGCTTAAACACTTTGCGCCCTCACGGGCACCTCGCCTCCTTCCAGTTCTCTCTGCCCCACTTGTTTCTCCACCGGCTTGCAGCTTGAGTGGGCTGGCCACAGAGCCCAAGTCGGTGTGTATGCCACGTCTGTGCTTTCACCACTAAGACGCTGCAAGACATGCTGATTGGAGCTCGCCGAACGTCGAAAAAGAGGCCGGCCTGGAGCCGCATGTGCGGTGTGATTCGGTCAAGACACGGTGGCGTCGAGGCGTCAAAACGTCAGCGCACGAATCCATCAATGCACCAGGGCATCCATGTGTCAGAGCACGGATACATCAACAAATAATGCAGCCAAGGCGTCGATACGTCGAGGCACCAATACACCACGACATCAGGACTTGACGCATTGAGACCTCAAACCGTCAAGACAACGCATCAGCACATCAGTGCATCAAGTCATGCCTACCCCCCCTCCCTCCTCCCATTCCCTCGCCTCGCCACTCCATCCCTCCCCCTCCGCCACGCTCCAACCCACTATACACCGCCACCCCGCAACACATCAACCCACCCAGGGGGGAATGAGGGGGGGCAGCAGCGCCAGGCCGAGCCCCGAACCTGACCGCCCGCCCCGAATCCCCCCAACCACACCCACCAGTGGGGGAGGAACACTGGCGCCAGGTCGAGCCCCCGGTCGCCCTCGCCCCCCCTACCCACCCAGCCCATCATGAGCGGGGCACCGTGCCCATGGGAGAGGGGAGGGGGACGCGCCCTGCATCTCACTGCCCGCCATAATCCTGGACACCTCAGGGATCCCCGCGCGGTCTTGACTGTTTTGCGTTCAGCTTGTTCCTCAGGCACGCCAGGGACTCCTGGAGATTGCGCGCGCTCTGACTGTGCATGACTTGCTACCTCGATTGCTCGAATCCCCCCGCATCCTTGCAACTCCTCGCTCGTGCTCCCGCTCCTGCTCAGCCTGTCCGCCATCGTCAGCGCCAATCGCAAATCCATGTTCTGCTCAGGCTGACACAATCGGCGCCAGTACATCGCTGCAGCTTTGCCATCATAATACTCGTAGCTCTCCCGGAAGCCGAAAGCAACCATATCCCGCTTCCAGGGTGAGCGAGCCTCAGTGGCAGAGGCTACATGTGCACAGCAGGAACTGTGCACGCTTCCTGAAAATATGTCGAGGAAACCTCCAATCACAGAAGTCACAACGCACGCGATGCAAGTCCGAATCGCACGTACAGATGATGCCACCCCTGAACTCATGTGCATGGACTTGACGCTCGAGAAGACTTAGCAATCCACACGCAAAAAGTCCGTGGTGATTAGTGCGGATACTGCAGGACAAGACCCAAGAGAGAGCGCGATTCACTGTCGCCCAGGGGGTCTCCAAAACTGGGACCCCCACCTAACCCCACAACCACCACCCCTCCTGAGCCTCCTCCTGCAAGGGCCAGGGGAGTGTACCACCCACCCACCCTCCACCAGAGCACGGGGGGAGGGGGGGTGTACACCAACCCCAACTCCCACCCTCGCGCCATCAAAAAGAAGACGACAACAACGACGACGACGACGACGCACGGGGGATGTTCGTCGTCGTCAGTCGTCGTCGCTTGCTGGCGCGAAGCGCGAAAGAAAAGGGCTGAGTGATCCAACAACCAACCCCCCCTTACACCGAGGGGGGAGGGGAGGGGGGATTCGTAACTCCCCCTCCATCTGTGCCCAGACTGGGGGGATCGGGGGGGTCTTAAAGCCCCCCTCCCCTTCTGCAGGCGACTACGGAAGGCGCTCTGTCAGACCCGGTGACCTCTTGCAAATGGATCTCTGACCACATGTGGCATCTGTCCCCCCTCCTCCGTCTCCTCCTTCTCGTCCTCCTCCTCCTCCTTCTCCTCCTCTCGTCGTCGTCCTCCTCCTCCTCCTGCTCCTCCTCTTCCATTCCTTTCCCTTATAAATAACTTTTCCCTGTCGCACCCCGAGGCCAGTTTTTAGGGCGGGCCAGGCGTTTCGCCCAAGACTTCCTGACAATCTATGACCCTGAAGCTTAAGTGTGGCAACTGTTTCACAGATGAGCGCGGGACGGTTTCAAAATGTGCCTCTAAACTTAGCGCCGAGCAGTCGTTGCACAAAACTGCAAGAGCTTCACGGATTGAAGGCGGGTCGTTTTCAAAAGGTGGCTCTCGCCTTAGCGCCGCGCACATTCCTTTCAAACATTTGCAAGAGCTTCTCGGATTTAGGGTGCCGCTCCTCCTCCTCGTCCTCCTTCTCCTCCTCCTCCACCTGCTCAGCCACCTCCTCATCCTCCACCTCCTCCTCCTCCTCCTCCTCCTCCTCCTTCTGTGTCCACTTGCCCCCATCATCATCATCATCATCATCATCATCATCATCATCATCATCATCGTCATCATCATCATCACCATCATCACCACCACCACCACCACCATCTTCATCATCATCATCATCATCAGCATCAGCATCATCGTCATCATCATCATCATCATCATCATCATCATCATCATCATCATCATCATCATCATCATCATCTTTCTCCTCGTCATCATCATCAGCATCAGCAACAGCATCATCATCACCAGCAGCAGCATCATATCATTAACAGCATCAGCATCAGCATCAGCATCGTCATCAGTATCATCAGCATCAGCAACATCATAATCATCACCAGCATCCTCATCAGCATCAGCATCAGCATCATCATCACCAGCAGCAGCATAATCATCAACAGCATCAGCATCAGCATCAGCATCGTCATCAGTATCATCAGCATCAGCAACATCATAATCATCACCAGCATCCTCATCAGCATCAGCAGCAGCATGATCACCATCATCATCAGCATCATCGTCATCGTCGTCGACATCGTGATCATCATCATCAGTATCAGTTAAGCATCATCAGCATCATCAGCAGCATCATCATGAGCAGCAGCAGCATCAGCAGCAGCAACAACTACATCAGCATCGCAAGCATCATCCGCATCAGCATCGTCAGCATCAGCATCATCAGAATCAGCACAAGCATCATCAGCATCACCACCACCACAATCAGCATCCTCATTGTCATCATCCTCATCATCACCATCATCATATTCATCGTCGTCATCATCGGCATTATCGACATCGTCATCATCATCATCATCATCATCAGCAGCAGCAGCAGCACTACAATCATCATCAGCAGCATCATCAGCATCATCATCGTCATCATCATCATCACCAGCATCACCATAAACATCATCATTGTCATCGTCATCGTCATTGTCAGCATCGTTATCGGCATCGTCATCCTCAGGAGTACCATCATTATCACAAGGAGAATCATAAGCATCAGCAGTAGCAGCATCATCATCACCATCAGCATCAGCATCAGCACCAGCATCAAAACTATCAGCATCACCATCATCATCAGCATAATCAGCATCATCATCATCATCATCATCATCATCATCGTCATCGTCATCATCATCATCATCATCATCATCATCATCATCATCATCATCATCATCATCATCATAGTTATCGTCATCGTCATCGTCATCATCATGATCGCTTCCTCTTCCGCATCCTCACCTATCTTTCCTCACTACTCACTCCTCACGCCCTCCCTCCCTCCAGAGATACATGTGTTGGCTTCTTGATGGCGGAGCGCGTGAAGAAAGTGCAGCACATCCAACGAAAAAACTATTGCCATGAACCCCGATCTTGAAATGCAGCTGGGGATGATTTGTGCGAGTGGCAGGGGCAAGGAAAGATCTGGCTCTTGGTTGGTTTGACGACGAAGAAATGTGCCTTCATCATGGCGTTCCTGGGAGCTTTTTAAAGTGGTGTGGATACCCGTTGGGGCTGCAGTCAGGCTCCTGGGGTCCTCGAGCCTGTCTCCATCCAAGGCTGCTCTGTTTGGGACCCGCTGGGGCTCCAGTCGCCTCGCGGGATGTGCGTCCGGGACGCGCATACAACACCGAAAAAAAAAGAAACATGACAATAAAGATTGTACGGCCTGGGCAAAGAAACATTACGAACTACAGATGACGAGCAGATCGACATGACGGAAATCGTTTACGCCGGCGATGGCTTTTACCCCGTCCTGGGCACCGCGCTGGGTACCACAGACCACAGCATCAACAAGACTGCCTACCTCACCCGGATCCTCATCGCCCAGTTCACAGTGGCCACCTGAGGCTCAACACGATGGTTCGGAAAAAAACACATATGCGATGCAATATGACAGATACTAGGACTATTGTGCCAGAGCTTGTTGTACGCGAGTGCGTCCTGAGTTCCGAGATCAAATGCATACGCAAGCAGCTGTTGGCTAACCCCATCATTGACGTTCACGCAAGAGTAACAATCACCGTCACAGTCTTGATAAGCACTGTCCTACACATTGCAGCAACATGGTCAACCTTGGATAGAAATACGGTGTGTAAGTTGAAAAGCATGGCAATGACGGCAGACCACATTGCGACTGGCACGACAATCAAGAAGGGCGACGACCAGCACTACACCGACCAACAGGTCCTGGCAAAGGCAAAACGAATCAGCCTCTATGACATACTACGGATCCATCGGCTACGGCACTTGAGCAGGATGTTCCGGTACGGCCAGGACGACATCTTTGCATTACTTCTGGCGACGTCTGGTCACAAACAGTCCTGGGCAGCTCTTATCATGACGGATCCCACTTGGATACAGAGTGCGTCAACGGCAACTCAGGAGCTGTCCGACCCTTTGGAGGACATGAGGGCCTGGGAGGACTTACGCAGGCAATAGACAACTGCATGGAAAGGCATCTTTCACAAAACCAGTGAGAGGATAGTGAGCCAACGTGATGCTATCCAGCAGCCATACAACATGCCTTTTGTAGAACTTCCCTTTCAGTGTCACGAATGTACAGCAGCCTTCAGCACACCGCGCGAGCTCGTTTGCCACAGAGTCGCCAAGCACGGCTTGAGGAGCATTGCACGACCGCTTGCAGAGGCACATGCATAGCCTGTCTAATGCACTTTCACACGCGCACGCGCCTCATCAGACATTAAGTAAAGTAGTCCAAGATGTCTGTCTATAGTACTGCAGCATGCCAGACATCTCACAATAGAGGAGCAACGACGCCTCGACCAGCAGGACGCGTCCTTAAACAAAAGGTTCAAGGGACATGGAAGAGGCAAAGACTACGCAGAGTATCCTGGTTTCAGAATGCCTTGGCCAATCACAAAGGCCTGGGCAGAGCTCAGAACAACCGACGAGCAGGTTCGAGGAGTCCTGCGCAAGGCCCGCTCATGAGCAGCGAGCTGCGGCAATGCCCGCCACGTACGCGCAGCATGCAACTGCGGGGCTCCCCTCGAGCTGGCCGTCGGAGGGGGAGGCGTATAACGGGGAGGTGGGCGATCGGTCGAATGCTCTCAGGCGGGTACATCGTCTTTTGCCCAATGTGGGGTCCATGTCCCACGTGCGTCCCGCGGCTGAAGCTTGACTGCGATCGGCCCGCTCGAGTCGAATCCATCCCTCCCTCCCTCCCCTCTCCCTCCCCCCCCTCATTCCTTCCGCCCCCTCCCTCCCCCCTGCCTAGCCACCCTCCTCGGGCGCGCCAGGAGCGTCCTGCAGCAGGGAGCTCTGCTGCTCCTCCCGGAGCCAGCTGTTGGTCCGCACGGCCTGCTCCAAGTACGCGTTGATCTGCCCCCAGACGTCCGGGAAGTGTCCGCTCACCTGGAGGCCGCCCACGTGGGTTCAGTCGGGCCTGTCCCCCTACAGGCCGATTGTGGACGAAAAATATTCCAAAAATATTCCAAACAAAAAAAAAAAAAAAAAAAAATCACAGACTATTTACCTAACAGCGAAGACTGATAGGTTTCTGGTAGGGTCAAAAGAAAGAGCATCATGACGCCCCAGGGGGGTCTGGGCGCGATCCGGGGGAGGGTGCCGGGTACATTTTTTTTACGAACAGTTACATATTTCGTGGTCTTCGAGGTCCCAGAACTCCATTCCCGGGCCACATTCTGAATGCCCGGAGCCAACTGTAGGCCACTTCGTGGTCTTCGAGTTCCCAGGCCACTTCGTGGTCTTCGAGTTCCCAGAACTCCATTCCCGGGCCACATTTTGAATGCCCGGAGCCAACTGTAGGCCACTTCGTGGTCTTCGAGTTCCCAGAACTCCATTCCTGGGCATGATTTTGAATGCCCGGAGCCAACTGTAGGCCACTTCGTGTTCTTCGAGTTCCCAGAACTCCATTCCCGGCCACATTTTGAATGCTGAGGCAGGCTGATGCTGAGGCTGAGGCAGGCTGAGGATGAGGCAGGCTGAGGCTGAGGCCGAGGCTGAAGGCAGACTGAGGCTGAGGCTGAAGCAGGCTGAGGCTGAGGCTGAGGCAGGCTGAGGCTGAGGCTGAGGCAGGCTGATGCTGAGGCAGGCTGAGGCTGAGGCTGAGGCTGATGCAGGCTGAGGCTGAGGCACGCTGAGGATGAGGCCGAGGCTGAAGGCAGACTGAGGCTGAGGCTGAAGCAGGCTGAGGCTGAGGAGGCAGGCTGAGGCTGAGGCTGAGGCAGGCTGAGGCTGAGGCTGAGGCAGGCTGAGGCTGAGGCTGAGGCTGATGCAGGCTGAGGCTGAGGCAGGCTGAGGCTGAGGCCGAGGCTGAAGGCAGACTGAGACTGAGGCTGAAGCAGGCTGAGGCTGAGGCTGAGGCAGGCTGAGGCTGAGGCTGAGGCAGGCTGACTGAGGCAGGCTGAGGCTGAGGCAGGCTGAGGCTGAGGCTGAGGCTGAGGCTGAGGCTGAGGCTGAGGCTGAGGCTGAGGCTGAGGCTGAGGCTGAGGCAGGCTGAGGCTGAGGCAGGCTGAGGCTGAGGCCTGAAGGCTGAGGCTGAGGCAGAGGCTGAGGCCGAGGCTGAAGGCAGACTGAAGGCTGAAGCAGGCTGAGGCTGAGGCTGAGGCAGGCTGAGGCTGAGGCAGGCTGAGGCTGAGGCTGAGGCTGCTGAGGCAGGCTGAGGCTGAGGCTGAGGCTGATGCAGGCTGAGGCTGAGGCAGGCTGAGGCTGAGGCCGAGGCTGCAGGCAGACTGAGGCTGAGGCTGAAGCAGGCTGAGGCTGAGGCTGAGGCAGGCTGAGGCTGAGGCTGAGGCAGGCTGATGCTGAGGCAGGCTGAGGCTGAGGCTGAGGCTGATGCAGGCTGAGGCTGAGGCAGGCTGAGGCTGAGGCCGAGGCTGAAGGCAGACTGAGGCTGAGGCTGAAGCAGGCTGAGGCTGAGGCTGAGGCAGGCTGAGGCTGAGGCTGAGGCAGGCTGATGCTGAGGCAGGCTGAGGCTGAGGCTGAGGCTGATGCAGGCTGAGGCTGAGGCAGGCTGAGGCTGAGGCCGAGGCTGAAGGCAGACTGAGGCTTGAGGCTGAAGCAGGCTGAGGCTGAGGCTGAGGCAGGCTGAGGCTGAGGCAGGCTGAGGCTGAGGCTGAGGCAGCTGAGGCTGAGGCTGTGACTGCGACTGCCGTTGCCACTGCGACTGCCATCGCGAATGCGACTACGACTGCGAGAACAGCAGGGATTCTCATCTCTTCTTCAGATATGCTCCTACACATCGCTGTTAGGTTGCTTTGCCGGGATATTGTTTTACTACTTTTGAATGTTCCCCCTGTAGAGGGAGAGGGCCCGACTGAACACGTGGGGTCGAAGTGGATGGCGTCGACGGATCGCGCCACCTCGCCGATACATCGGCGACGGCGATGCATCGGCGACGTCGGCGGTGCATCGGCAAAGCTGGCGTGGACAAATCCAGCTCCACATCGAGCCGCACTGCCGATGCATCGACGATCTCTTTCGACCCCCTGTGGGCGACCTGGACCCCAGAATGAGCGTCGAAAAAGGGTCCATCCAAACGCCACGAACGTGACAAAGAACTTGATCCTACATCTTCGAGCCCCAAATGGGGGAGGTGGCCTCCCCCAATCGGGGCTCGAGGGACCTCCGGGGGGCCTCTGCTAAGCCCGCCTCTAGAGACCTCTGGAGGCAGAGGACGCCGTCGGACGAGGTCGATCGACGTCGTGGTCGTCGTAGTCGTCGGCGTCGGCGTCGGCGTCGGCGTCGGCGTCTTCGTCGGCGTCGGCGTCGGCGTCGGCGTCGGCGTCGGCTTCGGCGTCGGCGTCGGGGTCGTCGTTGGCGTCGGCGTCGGCGTCGGCGTCGGCGTCGGCGTCGGCATCGGCGTCGGCGGCGGCGTCGGCGTCGGCATCGGCGTCGGCATCGTCGGCGTTTTCGTCGTCTTCGAAATCTTCGACGCCTTCGTCGGCGTCGGCGTCGGCGTCGGCGTCGGCGTCGGCATCAGCGTCGTCGTTGTCAACGTCGTCGTCGTCGTCGTCGGCGTCGGCGTCGGCGATGGCGTCGGCGTCAGCGTCGGCGTCTGCATGGGCGTCGGAGTCGGCGCCGTAGTCGTCGTCGTCGGCGTCGGGCGTCGACATCGTCGTCGTCGTCAGCGTCGGCGTTGGGCGTCGGCGTCGGCGACGGCGACGGCGTCGGCGTCGGCGTCTTCGTCGGCGTCGGCGTCGGTTTCGGCGTTGGCGTCGGCGTCGACGTCGGCGTCGGCGTCGACGTCGGCGTCGGCGGCGGCGTCGGCGTCGGCGTCGGCGTCGGCGTCGGCGTCTTCGTCGGCGTCGGCGTCGGCATCGGCGTCGGCGTCGGCGTCGGCGTCGGCATCGGTGTCGGCGTCGGCGTCAGCGTCGGCGTCGGCGTCGGCGTCGGCGTCGTCGTCGGCGTCGGCATCGGCGTCGGCGGCGGCGGCGGTGACGGCGTCAGTCGGCGTCGTCGTCGCGCCAAGGAAGGCATGAAGCCTGAAGGGGCCCAAAACGCAGTTCTCAGCTAACTTCGGGAGTTTTCGGGCGTCTGTGGTGGGAGAAGACATAGAATGCGAAGGGGAATGGCAGGGTCGACGTCGGCTGGGGGGTGGGGTCGGGAAGGACGGGGGAGCGCCGACCACAGGCCAAGGCGACGCACGGCCGATCGAAAAGCCCCCTCGTGTTCGGCGGGTGGCTTCCGGCGCAGCAGGGAAAGCAGCGGGGGGGCGTGGGAGTGCGCGCGCGCAGAGGAGACGCACGCAGCGGCGTTCGGTCGGGCTCTGCGCTCTCTCGCGAATGCCGGGTGCTGCAAGAGTTGGGACCAGGAATGAGACGGCGAGGGGGCATGGCAGGGTCGACGCAAGCGGCCGCAGCACAGCGGCTGTGCAGATCCCCCGCTGGCGCAACGGCACCCTGGCCGCCCTGCACCTTCGCGGCCACCTCCTGTCTGCGGCGCGGCCCCCACCGCAGCTTCGCCCGTCGCGCCCAGCGCCGCCGCCGAGCGCCGCGAGGAGCCGAAGCGCACCAGTTCCTCGGCACGGCGCGCAGCTGCAGGGCGGCTGGCGCCACCTTCATCGGCGGCCCCAACACCGCGTGGTGAGCCAATGGGCATTCGGGATCACCACGCGGATTGGGACTCGGCCCGTTCTCCGACCTCGGGCCTCCGAGGTCACAAGACCGCGCGGCGACGGACCGCGCGGCGAGGTCTCTTCGGAGTTCGTGGTCACCGCGCGGTGCGTCGCCACGCGGCTTTTGGACCCCCGACGTCACCCCAACGGTGATGGAGGCGCACGGCGGCGGCCAGGGCAAGGCGGCGAGCCGCGCGATGACCGCCCTGGCGCAGCGCGGCGCGCAGCACA